ATATATATACTGTATATATATAGGCAATGGAACTATAAGCAGCTATAGCACAGAATTTATGAGGCGTTTGATATTTTTGCATGAAAAATTGAATGAGTTGGATAACTGAGCTAAAATAGGAGGGGTTTTTRATTTTTAAAGTGGACATGAATTCTTACTTTTCATTCAGTTGGGGTCTATATAAAGTGGAACTACAATACTTTGGTCTGAATTCCTCCTTATTTTAACTTTACCAGCCCATCGTTCACCACTTTTCTGCTGTGCCTTTAAGGCACTTCAAGCTCCGCCCCCCTCTGGCTTCCAGACCAGTCCACTTTAGTTTCAGTGAGGGGGGGGGTTAGCCTTTTCTAAAGTTCAGAAATGTTTTATTTACAATTTAATTAACAGATGTCAACAACAGAAGACTTGTCCATCCAGCCTTACGTGTTGGAGCCAGAGTCTGACCCAGAACCAGAGGAGAATTAAGACGAGGAAACTATAGTTGGTAAGTCCAGACCTTTTTTGGCAATTGACGTTATAGTTCAGAAAACATCACAGAAAATAGAAAAAAAAACTGAACAGGCTGAAAAATATGACACAAACAGAATATAAAGATATATTTGCAGCACCAGGAGAGACCAAAATCAACTTTTCTGCAATCCTAGAGACTCTACAGTATACACAACAAAATGTATTTCACAGCTAAATAAGTGGATGACATGACCCCTTTAAATATGACCCAGCAAGCTTGCACTAAAAACTTATCAGGTTTTACGAGACAAAGAGACACATACCATCAGTACTTAATATCCCAAACGCAAGACGACCACGTGAGGATTACAGAGTGTCTGAAAGATCATAGATACACCGGAGCTCCCTAAATACCTCCATTTTTGGATAAGTTTCCACGCAGCAATTTCATAATTTTATAATCCTGTGATCCACAAGGACTAAGCCTCTCAATCAAAAGCAGTTGTGAGTCCATCCTCAAAGAAATCAACTAATTTAGATATTTGTTTTCAAGATGGTCTCCCCTAATTTAATTTTATTCATTTATTTATTTATTTTTATTTTTTACTGCCTGTTTTATAAAATTATTCTTGTAGTTTTTGCATGGTTTTACTTTGGTTCAAGCCTCCCTTTTGGAGATGAAATTCAGAAATTAAACCTGTGATGAGAATCTCAAAAATGCACTTAGAATACTACAGTTTCCTGATGGACAGTATTTGATGCATTTCATTTTCATCTTTATTATTATTCCTGTTACGATTTACTGTAGGTGTGCAGTTGAGGAGGGTTTATCAGTTTTAATCACTCAAACTGTTCACTTCTGCAAAGAATCAGCAAGTCTAAAAAGAAACAAGACAACTTGAGGATGTAATTACCTAAAACTGTAAACACAGTAAAAATAATTTGTCTGGTTTCTCCCAACAATGCCATGCAGATTGGATGCTCAGCTCTGCACTCATCACAGCCATTTCTCAACAGCAAACAGAAAAGAAAAAGAAAAAAATGACTGATTAGATATTTGCATCTTAAAAAGCATTTGAAGAGGCTTGTAATCAACATTAGGCTGCTTCTCTGTCTCACACACACTGATAAACAAAACTAATTGCTGRGCACAAAACAAGCCATCCTGCAGCTCTCTGCTCACACATTAAAACATTGAGTGGAAACAGATCTAAAGACAAAAACACTAATAAATAGATGAGTGATAAAAAAAGGACAGGAATCACATTTCTGAAGAGCTGCTGCAGGTTTTGGAGGGTAATGTGTATCCAAGGCGGCGTGTTTTCACAGCTCACCACCTTCATTTCACATCTGACTGACAGAGCTGAGCGGAACAGWGTCAGCTTGGAAAAGCAGAGGGCAGGAAAGGGTTCGCTTCATTTTGTCTCCGTGTTGTATTTGATGCATGACCAACACTTGCTATCATTAGCCCTATCATTGCCATCATTACCTCCGATTAAAGCTGGAAATATAAAATGTGTCTCGGTTTGATGCCTACAGATTTGTTTCTGTGCATTATATTTGCTCTGCACGTCTGCAGCTCTGTACCTCATCAACCCACAGATTTCCATCAAATGAAGTGAGCTTACCATTCGTTGTGCCTTTGGACACCTTTAAAATTAAATCCTGACACTTTATCTCTAGTTCAAACACTGAACTGGCAAATCTCTTCAATCTAATCTAATAATGAAAGTCCTGATCAAAATTGATTTATTCCACAGCTGCTTTGAAGGCAAGACTGCTCAAAGGTGTCCTTTATTTGCAAGCCTCCAAATATAGTAGTCCAATTATTATTTGTCATTTTTCTTACTTAATGTACCATACTGTGCAAAAAATACTGAGTCCATTATTGTTTTTTTTTTTGTTTGTTTGCTTTTGTTTCATACAAATGCCTCAGCTTTTTGTCATTTTAAAAGTTTTTTTTTTTCAATAATCGGTGTTTTTTAAGGTCATCCAAAAAAATTTCCACACATTTTAAGTCCAATCCTTGTTTCTGATAATCACACCAGACTGTACAGTGTGTGCTTAAACTTCTTAACTTAGACCCGAGAAAAGTTGAAGCATCAAAAAGAGACACAACTTAAGAGATGAAGCAGGCATAAAACTTGGCACGCAGAGGATGAATCCATTT